CTTATTTTCCAAAGCCAATGACGTAGGGAAGAGGATGGAAGCTTTGCAATCAAGTGATAGGTATTCCTTCAAAGTCAAGCACATAAACCAGGGGTTTGACCTGTTGTGAACTGTAACCAACTGGGATGATGTCAGCAAAAGAAAAAGACCCGCACCTTCAGTTGAAAAAATGCTGATGGAAATGTGCACTCAGTTTGAAGACCATGTTTGTGAGGAGTTAAACAAGACTGGAAAGTTTGCCTGAGCTACAGGAAGAAGCCCCAGGAAAGCTCCCACTGTGGAAAACTGGGAAAGAAACAGAATAAAATGTAGACTTGATTGGTTCCAGGAGAATTGGATGTTTGTGAGACTGAGCAATGTAATGACATTGCACTCTTATTGAAAGTAGGCTGTGGAATATTTATTTGATAATTTAAAATATAACTTGCCTCCGAAAAGAATATCCTGTTTATTTAATGGTGTTCTTTTTGGATTTGGCTCAGTAGAAGTTTTAAACTGTGAAATCTTATATGACCACCGATAATTAGAAGTTCAAATTTGTTTTGAAAAGTTCCGTCTCCACACAGTGATTGTTTGAAATGAGCATCATTTCAGCTCATCATTAGGCTCAATTCTTTTGGTTACTGCAGCCATATAACAACCTCCACTTTGAGAGGTGCAGGCTGCCTTTAAGTAGCGAGTGGACTCCACACACAATTGCATGAAAGCAAATTACAACACAAGGATTCACTAAAACAAAAGCTATCTCAAAGTAAAGGAAGGAAACAACTATAAATTAGAAGCGTCAATATTCACATAACACAATACATCATTCATTGATAAACAGCACATAATTTCTGTGGAAATTATGGTGGCAATTAAACTTGAGAAATTTACTTCCTTATTGCTGTGTTGTCTAATGACATACAAGGTGAAACAGTCAGGCTGTTCCCTGTTATTGAAAGTACTGCTTATACCGTCTCCAACACTTCACTGGCTGGGAGTAGCACTTGGTTAATAAGTGAGCAGCACATATATCAACCGGAAAGTGTTAATTGCTACGAATGTCACGCTAACCAATTTCACCACTAACTTCCTCCTCATGACTCGTTTCAGGTTTATTTATTGTCACGTATTTTGTTACAAAATACAGTGAAATCTGTCATATAGTACTTGCAGCACTGATATTTCTCTTTCTCCTTGGAAAATGGATTTTGTACTCCTCCGGGTGTGTACCTCATCCCTTCAGAATATAAATATTCATATGACTTACATTTATGTAAAACATTTAAATAGAGAAATGTCTCAAGGCATTAAACTAGAGTGATACATATAAAACCATTTATAGCACTGAGCCACAGAAGGAGCTATCAGGGCAGATCACCAAACATTTGATTAAAGAGGTATATCTTAAGGAGCATTTTAAGGGGAGATAGCTGGAGATGCAGAAAGGCTTTGGAAGAGGATTCCAGGCATTAGGATCAAGACATTGAAAGTACAATCACCAATCTGGTATATGGAAGAAGCCAGAACTTGAGAAGCACACAGATCTTGAAAACGTTTGGGACTGGAGGACGTTGCAGAGGTAGGGAATGGTATAGGAGCTGGAGGATGTTGCAGAGATAGGCAGTGGTATAGGAGCTGGAGGACGTTGCAGAGATAGGCAGTGGTATAGGAGCTGGAGGATGTTGCAGAGATAAGCAGTGGTATAGGAGCTGGAGGATGTTGCAGAGATAAGCAGTGGTATAGGAGCTGGAGGACGTTGCAGAGATAGGCAGTGGTATAGGAGCTGGAGGGCGTTGCAGAGACAGGCAGTGGTATAGGAACTGTAGGGAGGATGTTACAGACATAGGGAGGGTCAAGGTCTTGGAGGGATTTCAAAATAAGAAAGAAGTTTGTAAAATGGAAGTGTCATCAGAAATGGAGTGAAAGTCAGCTAGCTCAAAGGCGATAGGTGAATACAATTCAGTGTGAATTAAGCAGCAAAACTTTGGAATAGCATAAATTGTCAGAGAAACATGGGAGGCTGGGCAGGGGAGCATTGGTACAGTTAAGTCTGGAGTAACAAAGCCATGGATGAGCTGAGGCAGGGTTGCTGTCAAACACTGCTGCAGAAGTATTTTGGTGTGTGGTCACAAGTTCATCCCAAGGTTGAACACAACATTGAGGTTGCAAACAGTCTTACTCAGCTTAAGACAGACACCATGCATGGAAACAGTGAACTGGGAGTAGCATCTATGGCAGCAACCAATAAATACGGACTTCCATCTTCCCAATATTTAGTTGGAGGTAGTTGCTGCTCTTCAACATTGTTTCCTTTGGCAGGAAGAATAGGAAAGCAGCAAATTATTTTAATGGAGAGGGAATACCGGACTCTGAGTACAGGGAATCTGAGAACATGAATCACAAAAAGTTAACATGTTGGTACAGCAAGTAATTAGGAAGGCAAATTGAATATCATCTTTTATCGCAAGGGAGAAAGCTCTAGAGAGCCAGGATGCACAGAACTGGCCAAATAGCCATTTGTGTCTCTCAATAACTTTAGGTTACAAAGGCATGGTTAGTGCAGCTTGCAAATCGAACAGTGGCAGTGTCGGGCAAGTTTATAAAAGTTAAATAAGTCATGTTAGTGTTATGAACCAGTCCAAACCCCCTCAAAATATATTAAGAAGATAGCTTAGACCCAAATGTTTTCATACGTTAAAGGCAAGTGCCAGGCGCTGCATTCTGGATGCAATTCGTTTGAACAGACCACCAGGCTTGAAGCAAAATGCATTTTCTTCCCACACTTTAGTTAAAATACAAAAGAAAGAAGAAACTGGAATAAATTAATTCCATTGGAAAAAATTAAATATATTAGAAAACTTAACAGAACAACAGATCATTTAACTACTAAATAGCAACTGTTCCAATACTGTAGCATCCCATAAACACATTCCTGGCAAAGGCAAATTCAGTTAAATTGATTGCCTCACATACAATTCTCCAGTCCAGGAGGAAAAACATCAAGAGAAAGCTCAGAGTCAGAGTAGCAGGGAGAGATATACTGCAGCTTCTAAACCCAGCTTCAAGACCCCAGCAACTGCTACTGAAAAACTAAAACTAAAAATCCTGGTTCAGTGGGAGCTTGGCCCCACCCATTCAGGCTGCTTCTATTGTTTCAACTTAAAAAAACACCAAGGCCTCACAAACTTCTAACTTTATTGGCTTCGAGTAGACCGATTGGGACCTCTGTCTCAACCTTTCTTCTTTAAATAAAACACTGGACAAAATATACCTCTTAAAGCCATAGTATGATCACATTAGTGATGGTGTGAAAATATAGAAGCTCATCATGGGATCAAATATGACATAAAGATTGTATACGGTCTGTTTCAGCCTGAGGGCATTGCAAGGGAGAGGGACAGAGCTGGGAGCATGGTTTGTGGTGAGGACTGCAGATAATGGCTTCTATTTACTCAATATTTAATTGAAATAAGTTTCTGCTCATCGGTATTATATGTCAGATAAGCAGTGTGACATTTTGGAAATATTGAGGATCAGGAAGAGTGGAGGTGAGGTAGAGACAGTGTTGGTCAGCAAACACTTGGAAACTGAGGTGTTTTTTAAACAACATTGCTGAGAGGCAACATGTAGATGAGAAATAGGAGGGGCCAAAGATAATCCTTAGGTAGAGGTTTGAAGAAGCAAGAGAAGAAGTTCCAGATGATACTCACTACTGTTAGGTAGCTAAGAATGGAAACAGGTCAGTGAAATCTCACTCAGCTGGATGATGGTGGAAAAGCATTGGAAGAGGATGGTGTGATCAACCAAGTTAAAGCTGTAGACAAGTCAAGGAGGGATAGCTTTTTCTTATCATGGTCACATAGGATGTAATTTGTGACTCTGATAAGATCTGTTCCTGCTCTGTGGCAAGGGTGAAAACCTGGAGAAAGTCAACAAATATGTTTTTTGGAAATACAAGTGCAGATTTGGGAGCAGCATCCCAAATGAGCTTGGAAATGGAGGTTGGACATGGGCAGTAGTTTGCAAGTACACGTGGGTGAAGAGGAGATTTGTTTGAAGAGAGGTGATGAAAGTAGAGTAGAAGTGTGGGATGAGTTGGTAGATACTAGAGGAATCATTAACACTATCAGCCAACATAAAACCCAGGAAGAGAAACCAAATAATGAACAGTATGGTAAGAGTAGGAGTAAGGAGCATGACCTCAGTCTCATGTACAAGATAACGCCAGACAGCATTCATAGGAGTTGGAATAGAATCTAGAGGAAGACCTAAGTTTATGGGGGCAGTGGGGAACATTCGGGGAAATTTGTCCCAATGGGATAAGAGAAGGCATGGAAGTGGAAGAGCAGATGAATGGATGATCTCAATCAACATGTTAGAGATGTTCATGAGATCCTGGCCTCATTATCAGAGGGATATGCGAAAGAAGCAGGGAAGGATGGTTTAAGAAGTTGTCTTAGTGTTGAAGATTTGCTATTTTTGCTTTTCAAGATGATTTTTGAATTGCAGAAACTATAAGAGAAGCAACCAATCTCAATATTTGCTTTAGTTTACTTGAGTATTCCTGAAAAAGGCATTACTAGGAGGAATGAACCAGAGAATGGCTGTCACATATTTTGTTGAGTTGAAACAGGTGCTGTGTGAACATATTCTTTTGTCTACAAAGCAAAGGCCATTACTAATCAGAGTTAACAGGTCTAATTTAAAATTTAAGCAAAGCTTGACTGTTAACTGTCAATTGCTTTTAATGGGTCCATTCGCTATGGCAACATCTCTACCGGAGTCCACCTGACAACTAGTCAGATTCTCCTCCCATGTAGTACAGATGTTGGTTTTCTCCTTAAAATGGTATTCTTGCAAATTGCCCTGGTGAAAGCAAGATGAAAAACTTCGACAAAAGGCGTCTTTTTTTCAGCAACACTTACATTCTGTGCCACCAAACGGGGGCTATCTGTATACTTGAAACTCCATACAGTTCATTGATCCTACTATATCAGCCATCATAGAAACACTGATTTTCAAATTAATGTAATAGATTTATTTTGACAAAAGGTAGTGATAATATTTTGAAAGACAATTCCCTTCCCAATCTCTGTTCAGGCACATCATTCTATATAATCTCCATAAGTACGTCAGGTGCAACAATGTTGACTGCTAAAGTCTTTGAAGCTATAGTCAATAGTGAACCTTGGTAAGCTTACAGGAAGCAGACATATGATAGGATCAATGCCATTTAGAAGTCTTGCGCTCTATCCTGACTTGGAACAAATCACTGTTTCTTCATTGGCACTGGGTGAAAATCCTGGAACTCGCTCCCTAACAGCAATGTGGGCCTATCCTTACCAGAATGACTATAGCGGTTAACTCATCATTAATGCCTCAAGGGAATTAGAAACAGACAACAACACTGGTTTTGCCAGAGAAGGTCGCACACTAAGAACAAATAAAATAAATGAGTTGGCACACAAATACAGGGGAGGTAAGTGGCAAGGCCACACCCACTAGGCACCAGTCCTGTGATCACCCACACTAATTCAATCCTTCACGGACCACCCACCAGCAATATGATTTTTTTTTAAAAAACACTTTCCTTTCCCATTGTCAAACTTTCTTCTGGAATAAAAACTCCACAAGATTTAGGCAACAAGTATTCTCACTAAAACATATTGTATTTCTCATACATTTCAAGTTTTTTTGCAATAAAGCCACTCTTACAGTGGCACAATCTGCAAGATCTAGACTATCCCTTCCAGTGTGAATGTTACCACACTCTCAAATTGCATGGGGACAGCAGAATTACTGGATGAGTAATTCAGACCCAAGGGGTTCAGAAGCCATTGTTCCAATCTGACAACTCGAAATTGGTTGAGTAAAAAACTGGAAGTATAAAACTAGATATCAGTGAAAGACAAACTGTCATTAAAACACAACCAGTTCATAAACATCCTCTTGAGAAGAAATCTGCCACCAACATGCTGTTTGGTCCATATGTAACTTCAGGGCCACTGCAATGTGGATAATTTACTGGTCCCCTGAAAAACCACAGCAAGCTCACAAAACAGGGCACTAATAATGCTCATGAAGTTCCAATCTTTTTGAAACAAGATGTAAATAATCCAAACAGGGAATGGGCCATACTAGAGCTGGTTTTGGGGAATGAGTCCAGCCAGGTGATCAAAGTTTCAGTCGGGCAGAATTTCGAGAACAGTGACCATAATTCTGTAAGCTTTCAGTTACTTATGGTAAGGATAAGAGCAGCCTTTGGGTGAAAGTGCTAAATTGGGGGAAGGCGAACTACTACAATATTAGGCAGGAATTTGGGAATATAGGTTGGGATGACTGTTTAAGGAGTCTTTTGAAGGCCAGTTGATTAGAGTTGAAAACTAGCACATTCCTAGGAAAATGAACATAGAACAGTACAGCACAGGAATGGGCCCTTTATTGATCCCTTCTGCCTGCCCTTGCTACATATTGCTCCATTCCTTGCATACTCATGTGCTTATCTAAACATCCCTTGGCCTCTTACTAGCTCACTGTGGATCCCATGTGACTTCACATTTTGTGTCAGCCTGCCACAAGGGACCTTGTCAAAGGCCTTGCTACAGTCCATATAGACAACATCTACCACCCTGCCCTTGATCACCTTTGTCATTTCCTCAAAAAGCTCAACTGAGTTTGTGAGACATGAACTTTCCCATACATATAGATAGGCTGGTGACTTTGCAAAGAAATGGCAGATGGAGTTTAATGCAGACATGCGAGGTGATTCAATTTGGAAGATTTAATGCAGGAGGGAAATACACAGTAAACGGCAGAACCCTTAGTAGCATACAGAGGATCTAGGCATACAGGGTCCACAGTTCCCTGAAACGACAACACATGTCAGTATGGCACATGGCATGCTTACCTTCATCAGTCAGGGCAGACAGTACAAAAATTGGCAATTGTTGCAACTCTATAGAACTTTAATAGGCCACATTTGGAATATTGTGTACAGTTCTAGTTGCTACACTACAAGAAGAATGTGGAGACTTTGGGAGTGCAGAAATGGTTTACTAGGATGTTGCTTGGTTTATCTATTATCTATGAGGAAATACTGCACAAACTTGGTTTGTTTTCACTTGAACATCAAGGGATGAGGGCAACCTGATAGAAGTTTACAAAATTATGACAGGCATTGATAGAATGGATAATCAGAATCTGTTTCCCAGGGTAGAAATATCAATTACTAAGGAATTTATGTTTAAGGCAAAAGGGGGTAAGTTTAAAGGAGATACAGGAGGCAAGTTTTTTTTTTAAAAGAGCGTGGTAAGTACATGGAATGCACTGCCAGGGAGGTGGTAGAGGCAGATACAATAGCAACATTTAAGAGGCATCTTGACAGATACGCGAATAGGGAGGGAAAAGCGGAATATGCAACATGTAGAAACAAAAGGCTTTTAATTTATAAAGGCATTATGTGTCAGTGTAGACCTTGTGGGCCAAAGGACCTGTTCCTATGCTGTGCTGTTCTTTGTTCTTTTAGTTTCTAGAAATTTCTAAAGTAATCACCTGGCTTCAAATTTTCTATTTTTAAACAAAAGCTCTATTTTCCACTGAAGTCGTTTGTGCAAGGATGCTGATGTTTATATTCAACTTACAACTAATTTCCCTCCACAATCAAATTTTCACATTTCTGATGTACTGAATAAGGACGTCAGCTGCATCTGTCCTACTATTAATTTGAGTTTGGTGACTTCAGCAGCACCTTGAGACCCACTATCAGTCCACTTGCTAGAAGAGCAGCCACAGCACACAGTACTGGTCCCTGGAAAGTGAAAAAGACAAAATAAATCACTCCCATTTCAGCACCAGAGTCAGTACAGGGTGAATTAAAGAGTAAAACTCTGGTCCCAGTGTTCCCATCAAAGACTCCCAGCACAGGGTTAGATACAGGGAAAAGCTTCCTTTATACTGTCCACATCAAACACTCTCAGGACAAGGACAGCGCAGGATTTAATACAGAATATTTTCTTTTCAACCTTTTCCCTCGCCTGAGGCACAATGCTCCTCGTGTTAAACTACCCCAGTCGTCCCTCTCATGACAGAGCTGCCTTATGGTCCTCTGGGACTAAGGAGACTTTACATACTTTTCCAGATGTAAACTGGCTGTCGTATGTTATTTAAGATGTTCAAAATAAGGAATGTATATTTACAATGTTTCTTTAAGCATGTATTAAAAATACAGAAAATTGGAAGCTTATTCCTTTGCATAATTGATCACCATGACGTGGTGCAGCTGTGGGCCCCCCTGTGCTCATGCATTAGTGAAGGTGAGATCTGGAGTGGAATGGAAGCTCAGTGATTAGCACTGCTCCCTCTCAGTTTGATTCCACCCTCAGGCGACTATGTGGAGTTTGCACATTCTCCATGTCTGTGTGGGCTTCCTCTGGGTGTCCAGTTTCCTCCCATAGTCAAAGATGTGCAGGTTAGGTGGATTAACCTAAATGTGGGGTTACATGGAAAGGATGGGAGAGCTGGGTCTGGGTCTGGGTGAGATGCTCTTCAGCGGGCTGGTGAGGACTTGACGGGCCGAACGGCCTGCTTCTACCCTGTAAGGATTCTGTGATGGCTTAGTGTGTACATTGCAGAATTCCAGAAATACTGGTCAACCAAGGGACTTGTAAAACAGAGGAACTGAAAAAAACAAGCACTGTTAAAGAGACAGTTCTCAAAAAGTTAACTGACTGGATGATGATAAATTCCATGAATTAGATCAGCTTTCATTGTGTTGTGAGAGATGGACATAATGATAATGGATGCACTGGTCCATATATTTCAAAATTCTATAGATCCAGAATAGGTTGCTGTACACTGGAAGGTAGCAAATGTAACCCTCCTAAATAAAGAAGAAATAAGGAGAATAGAGAAGTACAGACCAGTTACTTAGACATCAGTTGTAGACAAAATGTTAGAATCTCTCATAGATGATGTGATGATGACTGGACACTTAGAAAATAAAGTCAAAATTAGGCAGAGCCAAGCTGGATTTATGAAAGGAAAATTGCATTTGACAAGTCTGTTGGGAGTATTTTGTGAATGTTATTGTAGCATATTTGGTGTATTGGATTTTCAGAAGGCTTTTGCTAAGGTCTTCCTCATGAGGTTAGTGAATAAACGTAGAGCACATAGGACTGGCAGTATGGATTGAGAATTGGTTAACAGTCAGAAAGCAGAAAGCAGGAATAAAAGACCATTCTCATGATGATAGACTGTTACTTGAGGGTCAATGCTCGATCCACAGCTGTTCACAACCTATATAAATAATTTGGATTGGAGACCAAATGTAATATTTCCAAACGTACCGATGGATGGCAATGTAAATGCAACGAAGATGCCAGCAGGCTTCAACCAGACTTGGACAGGCTAATTGAAGTGAAAAGGTTGGATTGCAGTAAATGGAATACAAGGTGAATAAGTGTGAAATTATTCATTTCAGTAGAAAACAAGCAGCAAGATGTTTCTTAAATTGTTAAGGACCATGTCTTTTCACTTTTGAGTCTTAAAACTATTGACTGTGTTGAGAAAGAACTGTTTTTCAAAAACAGGGATTTTCCAGGGTTGCTGCATAATTTCATAGCAAGAGACATTTTACAAGTGCATCAGCTGCTCTGTGTCTCTTACAAATCAGTGGAAGCATCCAGATAAAACAACATTAAGTGGGTTGGTCAGCCAAACGGGGATTATTTCAACATCAGAACCAGGAAGCAAAGACACTGAACTCCAGTTTCTTCTACCTTTGCCAATAATTGATCTTTTTCTAATTTGTTTGTTTGTGTATGTGTGTGTGCGTGTGCATGTGTAAGGAGCGTTTATAAGGGGATTAAAGTTTTACCTGTAACTATTGTCTAGTTACTTGTCGTTAATAATAATAGTTCAGTACACAACCTGGTCTGTGCTTTCTATCAGCTTGGGTCTTGAAGTCATGTAAATTGGGGAAATGCTGTGTCCCTTAAACAAAAACTTTAAAATTCGGCATGACTTTATCCATGTATAGGTACATCTGCAGACCAAGGACAGCCAAGTGAAAAATCCACACTTCCAGAACAAGATCTGAACAAGTTTTCAAACTAACAATAATATAAGGACACTTAGACTTTGTAGTTGTAAATGTTACCATCCCTATCTGTGTGTAACTAATATTGCTTCTATCCAATATTTTCTACTTTTACTTGTAGCATATGACAGCTTTATTTGCGAAAAAAGGGAATGTCATGTTATGACCTTTAAGTGATGTCCCTTTAACAGATCAACATGCAAATGAACCAAGTACTTAGATTTTGATGCATGATGACAAGGTGTCTGCACTGTAATAGACAAGGCATAGGCTGTGTCTGGAGGTTACTCTGTATTGTATATATTAGTTTAGCTGTAATAACCCCATGCAAACAGAATCCATGTACCTCATTTGTGTTATCTTTACATGATTCAAGAATATCAATGTATATGGTACTGTACCCCATCAAGAGTCAGTGTATATGAAGCTGTGAATGGAACTGTATCCTAACAACAGAAACCGTAAATGGAACTGTATCCTAACAAAGAGCAACACTTTCAGGAAAGAAGGGTAAATATACCTGTAACAGCTAGAGACATCTGTAAATGTGGTATACAACTTCGGATTTCGCTTAAATTGAAATCAATGTCCGAGCACCAATAATGTCTTAATAGAGTTACTTACCCAGCCACCCATTTGTGAGATCCAAGGAACAACAATCTTCAGAATAAATACTTCAACCCATTTCTTAAAAATAACAAAGGATTCTGACTCCAAAATCTTAAAAAAACAGAAACAGATAAATTATTCACTGTTGTCTGCTATTGCTCCATGCTCAAAATGTCTTAAGTCAGGTCACAGCCTGAAACTAAGTTATTAATGACATTGTGCCCTTCATCCCAACCCTGGAATTATTCTCCAGTGCCTTTCTTGCTGAAGAGAACTGTTTCTGTATACCATCAAAACCAGAGCTTCCCCAGTAAGGCTAGTCTTCTATCTCTGTTACCTCTAGATTGTCCGAGGATCTTTACTTAATCATTATCCCTCCTTCCTCCTATAAAGGACATAAGAAACAGGGGCAGGAATAGGCAATTGAGCCTCTTAAGCCTGCTCCACCAAGTAATATGATCATGGCTGACCTGCACATTCCCCAGGCCATTCCCCATAATCATTTAACCCATTACTAATTAAGAATCTGTCTATCTCCTCCAATTTATTCAGTATTCCAGCATCCATCAGCACTATACATGCTGTCATTGTGACATCATCAAGAGACATATGACCATCTTCCATATGTAGACTGACAACACCTTTACTGCTCCTTTTCATATATTTCATAAAATCCCTACAGTGTGGAAACAGACCCTTCGGCCCAACAAGTCCACCCAGGCCCATCCCTCAATAACCTACCTACTCTACACATCCCTGAACATATTCAGGCAATTTAGCATGGCCAATGCACCTAGCCTGCACATCTTTGGACTGTGGGAGGAAACCGGAGCACCTGGAGGAAATCCACACAGACACGGGGAGAATGTGCAAACTCCAGACAGACAGTCGGCCGAAGGTGGAATCGAACCCGGATCCCTAGTGCTGTGAGGCAGCAGTGCTAACCACTGAGCCACCGTGCCGCCCCCGTTCCGTTGTCAGGATGCATGAATGACCTCTAACCTTTGCTGATCTACAATACTTAAACTTTTGTTGGCCCCCATCATGAACTCCATATCCCCTGCCAATGATAACACTCCCCTACTGGGCACCATGTCAGGGTAAATCAGACACTTTAGCTAAATCAGAATGCTTTAGCATTCTGTTTGATTTGAAATGCAGCATCTGACCCCTTATCCTTCCCAAGACCAAGACCAAGTTATTACCACCACAGTTCTGAACTGGCCCATTCTCCAGGGCAGAGGGCCTGCCCATTCCTCAGGTTACAGGAACCCCTCCCCACCTCCCCCCAATTACCCGGGTATATGATGCACCCATTAGGCAGAGTGTAGTGATCATTCAACAGGCAGAGTACAATGCATGTTGTGTTGATTACTTTCTTCAGCCATACATCCTCCACCCTCTATAAATTTCTGCTCACCAAAATCTCTCTTGCCCTTCCTTGGCCTATTAATCCAATGCACTTGTCCTTGTTAATTTATATTGGTTCCGGATTCTATAATACATCCTCAGGGGACATTTAACACTGGTTAAATACAGTAAAGTTTTCTCTAAATTGTCTTATCATGCTTTCCCATAGCATTAGCCAGGTACAGAACCAGTCCATTACCCAGGTACAGTTCCCATCTGTTCCTGAGGTATAGCACATTACCCCATTACAGTACTGTTTATTACCACCACAGTTCTGAACTGGCCCATTCTCCAGGGCAGAGGACATGCCCATTCCCCAGGTTACAAGAACCCTCCCCCACTCCTCCCTCCCCCAATTACCCGGGTATATGATACACCCATTAGGCAGAGTGTAGTGAACATCCAACAGGCAGAGTACAATGTATGTTGTGTTGATTGCTTTCTGCATTTTTGATTGAATGAAGAGTACTCACTGCAGGCAGAAATAATTTTGCCAGCTGGAAGAAAAGAAAGACAGGAGCAGCTTTCCCAGCTCCTGTAGCGACTTTTCGACTGAAGATGGTGTTTGACAAGGACTGTAGAATGTGTAGTGGGTTGGAGCTCTTCAGGAGGGGCCCAAACACCCTGGAACACAAACAGAAACAATAGACTTGTGGCCTTTACCTGACCCACCCCAAACTTCCATTCCAAGAGAGGGTCAGTGAAGTCTCCTTGTTCTACGCTGTAACATGTAGCAGCTTTAAAGAGAAGGTGTAAGATTCTGGACCAACAACTGGTTGCACATTTGCAGAGTTGAATCACAGAGTTGGAACTGAAACAGTGATTGAATTTCTGTGGGGGTTCTCCCGATTTCCCACAGGCCACAAAAACCTCAGGGGAAAGTCTACTGAAAGTAACAAAAATGACCACTGACTCAAGGTTTGTAAAGGATGTGTGAGGAGCACCCAGAAGTTCACAGCATGACTTCCAGATGCTGCAGTTGGACTTGATTATCGTGAAGTGAATGAGATTGAAGGCCAAAAGCAGCATGTGACAAACACCAGGCAGTATCTGCTAGGGTATTGCCAGGGTTGGAGGGTTTGAGCTATAGGGAGAGGCTGAATAGGCTAGGGCTACTTTCCCTGCAGCGGAGATTGAGGGGTGACCTTAAAGAAGTTTATAAAATCATCAGGGGCATGCCGGGGTAGGGGAGTCCAAAGCTACATTTAAAAGGTATCTGGATGGGTGTATGAATAGGAAGGGTTTAAGAAGGATATGGGCCAAATGCTAGCAAATTGTACTAGATTAGGATACCTGGTTGGCATGGACAAGTTGGACCAAAGGGTCTGTTTCCATGCTGTACAACTCTATTATACAGTCACATTAGTTTTTTTTAAACCAACTGTGTTTAGGTCCTGTATCATTCTAACTTGCTGAAATTCTGCATGTTTCATTCTTTAAAGCTAGAGAAAAAATACCCCAAACTGAAACGGATCTGAGGGTTTGGTTCAGACTGTGTGAAAGTTCCCTTTTTATATCAGAGTGCTCAAATATGTGCAAAATCCAGTGTCCACTAACTTGCCCAGTTGTGAAAGAGTGTGGCTTAGTCCCCTTTGCTGAAGGAAATAGCTTGAAAACTGATAGTGTAATGTTTTATAAATTCAATGGTTTTATCTAAGAAGTTATAGTAGAAGATCTACTATTTATTGTTATTTAAAATTTACTTATACAGCTTTGTACTGAAGAATTGTGACCTCAAAGAGTTGAGGCAAGAGTTGGAATATTTAAATATATTATATCAGTTATTTTTTGATTATTAATGAATTATTTTCATTATTTGAGAATAAAATTTTGGTTGATATTTTAAACTAAAGTAGGTCTGACCCTCTGCTCCTATGATGTTGCTTGGCCTGCTGTGTTCATCCAGCTCTGCACCTTGTTGTCTCGGATTCTCCAGCATCTGCAGTTCCTACTATCTCTGACCTGATGCTCTTTTGTTATCATAGATCAGAATGTGAGGTAATTGAAACAGTCCAAAGCTGAAAGAAATGAATGTACAGGGTGTCAGATTCATCTTCCTTGTCTCACCAAAAGGCTGTGAAGGTTTGAGATGCAGGACCTTACCACTGGGAGTGATTTGACCCAAATTATTCCCAGAGAGGGAGGTTTGAAAAGAGTCAGAAACCTTTCATGCAGAATCATGAATTTATGGAGCAGAGAGAAAAAAAAACTTGTGTGAAGGATCAAAGATCAAAACATAAGGGGTTAATAGAGGGAAAGTTACGCTAAAAGCTACTTTTCAGTGAAATGCACAGCTGCCTGTACTTTTTTGAAAAAGGGACAAAGCAAGCACTCAAACACAGGATGGCTAACTCACTGCATTAACAATGTGAAATTGCAGGTAAAAATTACACATGCCTAAAAAAAGGACGCTGAGAATTTGCATGCTCACACTTGCACATAAGCTACTTTCTTGGTTAAATAAAATCCCAATCAGATAAAAGGAACGTTAGGCTCCAAATTTATCTTGCTGGATGAGATGCCTTGCTTAAGCAAATTGAGCACATGTGTCTTTCTCACTCTAATTCAAGGAATAAATTCAAAAAATTACATTTTTTGGAAATTTAATGGAAACCCTATATATAATAGGTGGCCCTTTCACCAAATATGGGAAAATGATGCAGGTGGTATATCATTCATTTGATCAACGACTGATCATCTTCCATGTAATAGTTAATTATATTTGTAAAGAGTATTTGGGATTGTGTACAGTCAGAGATGTACAAGATGGAAACAGATCCTTTGGTCCAATTCATCCATGCTGACCAGATATCCTAAATTAACCTAGTCCCATTTGTCAGCTTTTGGCCTCGATCCCTCTGAACCTTTCCTATTCATGTACCCATCCAGGTGCCTTTTAAAATGTTGTAATTGTACTAGACTCCACCACTTCCTCTGGCAGTTCATTCCATACACACACCACCTTCTATGTGAAGAAGTTGCCCCTTAGGTCCCTTTTAAATCTTTCCCCTCTCACCTTAAACCTATGCCCTCTAGTTTTGGACTCCCCTACCCTGGGGAAAAGATCTTGGCTATTCACCCTATCCATGCCCCTCATGATTTTATAAACTTCTATAAGATCACCCCTCAGCCTCTAACACTCCAGGGAAAATAGCCCCAGCCTATTCAGCCTCTGCCTGTAGCTCAAACCCTCCAACCCCGGCAACATCCTTGTAAATCTTTTCTGAATCCTTACAAGTTTCACAATGCCTTTCTTATAGCAGAGAGACCAGAACTGAATGCAATATTCCAAAAGTGGCCTAACCAATGTCCTGGGTAGCCGCAACATGACCTCCCAACTCCTGTACTCAATGACTGACCAATAATGGCAAGCATACTAAACACTTTCTTCACTATCCTGTCTACCTGTGACTCCACTTTCAAGGAACTATGAACCTGCACTCAAGGTCTCTTTGTTCGGTAACACTCACCAGGACCTTACCATTAACTGTATAAGTCCTGCCCTGATTTGCCTTTCCAAATGCAGCACCTCACATTATCTAAATTAAATTCCATCTGTCATTCCTAGGCCCATCAGCCCATCTGATCAAGGTCCCATTGTACTCTGAGGTAATCTTCTTTGGACACCACCAATTTTGTTGTCATCTGCAAACTCACTAAGCATACCTTGAAACAGATCTTAAATTTACACCATCTAATTTCATGTATCGAATACTCAGTAAACCCAACGCCTATTCCCTTCTTGGTGGTGAACATTTACCGAGGAGATTCACTCAAACCCTTATAATATCTGGAAAAACTGCAATTTGGTGAAAAAAATTGAACATTAGTCTTTCAGGCTGAAACTCTGAACTGGTTTTCTTCCTTTGGACAGACAAGTTGGATTCAATGCGTTGAATGATGAGGCCTTGAGTCTGGCTCCCTCTAGCTGAGTTTGTGGGGAGTTAATTGAAGAGTACAACTCAGAGTCATACAGCACATAAACAAGACCATTCCCTCCAACTTGTCCTTGCTGACCAGGGATCCCAATCTGACCTAGTCCCATTTGCCAGCATTTGGACCATATTCCTCTAAACCCTTCCTATTCATATACACATCCGGATGCCTTTTAAATGTTGTAATTGTATCCACCTCCACCACCTCCTCTGGCCATACACGCACCACCCTCTGCATTAAGAAGTTACCCCTCAGGTCCTTTGTTTGGGATTTATCCAGCCTGATGATTTTATGGTCTTTGTATAACCATCCAACTGCATGCTTTCATTAATAAAATTAGATTTGTGCCTGTATGTGTCAAAATTACATCATCTAATTTCATTTTATGTATTGAATACTCGGTCAACCCAACTCCTGTTCCCTTCTTGATGGTGAGCTTTTACCGAGGAGGTTCACTCAAACCCGTAGGTTACCCCTCAGGTCCTTTTCAAATCTTTCCCCTCTCACCTTAAACCCCTGTTCTCAACACCTCCAGGTATGGAGTTAGGATTGTAACACACCACTCTTGAAGGACTGCTAAGTTATTAACTGCCATGATCTGAGAGTTTGTTTTTTAAATTCCCCTCTACAGCGGTCAATGACTGTCCAAAACAAAGCTTTTGCTGGACTGTTTTGAATGTTGGGCCTATTGGAGCAGTTCAAATTTTTTGACATTTCCTCAAGGCCGGTCAAGAAGTTTCCCAATTGAATTACCAGCCTCAGAACCCAAAATCTAGTCAGATTTCAACCTTTAAACTGTATTAGCATCTTGTAAACTTACTGTTTGAATTCAGGATCCTGTGATATAGCCTGTTCGATCTTTCTCAAATATTGTAGTGCTTTTTCCAAGTCCAGCACACTGCCTTCCTCTGCTTCTTTACTGCTGAGAACCTTCTTGGCTCCTTCAGCTCCAACTGCTGCTCTGGGAACTGCATGCTCCTTTTCATTGATATAGCTGAAAAGGAGAAAGTAACAGGATTGACAAGGATCTGAGGTAGCAAGGCCTAATTGTTAACTTTAAATAATGTACAATTTACAGGCTGCCACAGTGCCATTCTATGGACTCAAGTACCTAACTGCTGCTTGGTGTATTTACACTTGGTGCAGTCTAAATCCAGCTTGGCCTGCTTGCTGCAAGGGTCAATATCAAATGCATTCAACTGTCTCAATCCATTTTTCACTGGGTCTGGCCTTCATTCACGGTTAAATTAGTGATCTCAATTATGGCCTGGCTAGTCTAGGGAATGAAAGCCTGTGATGATGCTACAAAGTTCAGTGTTATTGCTGAGTGGGAAACCTCCCACTATTCAGTTTCTTGGCCCTGTAAAGATTAAAACATTCCCAGAACCTGCTACAAGTACTGACACACTCTCAGTGCCCCTTTGTAAAACTGACAGTTCCCCTGGATCCTCTGTAAATATTGACAAATACCTAGAGACCAATTTTTTATTCACTCGTGGGACATGGGCGTCGCTGGCTGGCCAACATTCATCACCTGTCTTTACCTTCCCTTGAACTGAAAGCTTGCTAGGTCATTTCAGAGGGCAGTTGAGAGTCTATCACATTGCTGTGGGTCTGAAGTCACATGTGGTCCAGGCCAGGACAGGATGGCAGATTTCCTTCCCTGAAGGACATTAGCAAACCCAGATGGGGTTTTCTGACAATCGGCAATGGTTTCATGGAGTCAGTAGATTCTTAATTCCAGATTTATCTTATGTACTGAATTCAATCCTGCTGTGGCAGGATTTGAACCCGGGTCCCCAGAACATTTGCTAAGTTTCTGGATTAATAATGCAGTGATAATACCATCACCTCCTCATCTGCAAACACTGACATTACACATTACCAGTTGACAATGCCCAGATAAGAGAGAAATAGTTAGAGACACCAAAATCAGTTGACAAAAGAATCTTTAGCCTCGAGAAAGGACACAGATGAGCGTTTTGGAGAAAAGTTAAAATGAACATACCTCCAAAACAGTTCCATGGTGTTGCTGGCATCTTTAATGGCATTTACTTGCTCCGGGGTCCTGCTGCAGCCGGGAATCTCTCGCTCCGGGGCCCTGCTGCAGCCGGGAATCTCTCGCTCCGGGGCCCTGCTGCAGCTGGGGCCATTGCAGAATGCTGCATGTTCCATTATTTCATCATTGGGGAAATACTGACCACACAGTGGACACTCTTGTGCCTTTACTGCTGTTGTTGCCTGAGAATACACTGTATTAAACATACAAAAATAAGAAGATGGCCTACATTATCAGAGTGTTTCTACTCATTGTCACTGCCATGTCCACCCCACCAATATCCCCCCAGAGGAGTCTGAAGCAGAATGGGAGTAGAGTGAAGCCAACAGGGAGCAAGGTGAACCACTTCACTGAAGTGTTTGGAAAATAAAATAAAGCTGAGAGATCACAGAAGATAGAGAGTTGTTTCACAAGTGAATATTGACACTCTGTTTTCCTTCTTTCCTTTACTCAAAGTTAGGGTGCCAGTCTAAACAAATTGAAGAATAATTTTTATCTCAAGAAAAAAAAGTAAATAAACATATTAGCTTACTTCTCTAAGTGGTATCATTAACAGGCGTTTTTCTTTTTTAGTAGTACATTTTATTCTATGATGAAAAAGGAATTACAGGGCAGTTCCTTATTGAAACTTCAGATATATCCATTGTCCCAGATAACTGGATATGCAGGAATTAGCCCCAACAGCATGAAATGAAGTTGGCTTTACTGTACCCCATCCACAATTTTGAGAGCTTTATGGGTACCATGTTTATCAATGTGATCGTCCTGCAGTGTAATAGTATATGCGGAGGGCAAATGGGTGATTACCACCCAGCCAAGGGGGACCCCAGCAGATGCCTTCAACCAGTATTCTGTCTGAACATTAATCAGAGTGATAGTTCATTTCGGGAATGTTGCCAGACCCAAGCGCATGGTACCACAGGTAATTCAGTTTACAAAAGGCTGCAGAAAGATGGGATCAAAAATAGTAACAGGTAGTTTGATAGTTAGGGGAACAACCTTAGTCATGAATCCAGAATGGTATGGTGCCTCCTTGGAGCCAAGGTCACTGAGTACCTACAGAGCACAATGATAGGGAGGGTGAACAGCTTGGCACAAATAGAAATGACAGCTGCAGTCAGAACTTGGGCAGCTACAGCAAATTAGCAAACAAGACCTCAGAAGTAGTTAATTCTGTATTAATCCCTGTGCTGCCTGAAAGTCACTACAGAAGCAGATGAATGCAAGGGATGGTGTGGTAGCAGTGGTCTTTGACAGGGGTGGGGGCTTCAGGTTCTTGGAGCGTTGGAACTGGCTCTGGGAGAAATTAGATCTCATACACTGGACGAGTTGCACTAAAGTAGAGTCAGGGCTGATATCAGAATATTAGAAGAGATTGAGAGCACAAGAAAAGGTACATTATCAAGGGCAGTTTACAGCAAGGGAGAAAGTTATAAAGTAAGTCAGGGTTACTGTTGATTTATGTGAATGCAATGTAGTTAATACGATTGGAGAGTTACGGGCACAGATTGCCAAGTGAAATATGAAATTGTGGCTAAAACAGAGATAACAGACTCAGAGAACAGCAGTACAAGGTGTTCAGAAGAAAAGGAGAAGAGGCAGCAGCATTGATTATGGAGAGTAGGGCTGGTGAAAGAGGATGTCTCAGAGAAGCCAAGGACAGAATCCAATTGTTTCAGCTAAGAAACAAAAATAGGTGCAAAGACATTGTCTGGTGTAGCCTACAGGCCGCTGATTAGTGGTGATAGGTTGTTGAAGAACAAATTTGCTAGGCAATTACAAGCAATCCAAGGGTATGTGTACAGATAGAGCTTTGGTTGGCAGTAAGAAGCTAACTGGTTTGTGGACTACAGTCCAGTTACCGATGACAAAGGCCTTCTGCCTGCCAACAACTATGTGATTGGTTCTCAGATAACTGAACAGTTTGGGGCTGGGAATGAAATACAGAAACCCATTTAGCTCTCTCTCCATTCTCTGCAGTAATGTACTCGAAACCCAGTTTATTTTTCTTTCAGAAGTTGCTGCAAGCTATGACTTTTAGCTGATAAGTGAACCAGTCAACTTGTGCCTCTGCAAACCAGTGGAAGCAGCTGGAGAAGGATGGCTGAGAAGCAGCCTTTTAAACAGCACAAAAATCTTAGCAAACTTTGGGAACAGGAACATTGAACTATATTTTCTTTCTGCTCTTCCCTCCATCCAAAATCCATGTTTTTTTTCCCTGTCTGCGTATGTTTATAAAGGGGATTGGAGTTTTAGTTAGCAGTGTTATATGCCAATAGTTTACACCTGTTTATATAGTTTAGATACTTGTAAAAAACAATAATTCTTGTTCAATATGGAAACTTCTGTGCTTTCTAGTAATCTGGGCCTGGGAATCAGGTAAATCCAATGGAATCTCTGATTTTTTTTCAGAAAATTTTAACTTTTGCAATAACTCTGGCAAAGGTAGGGCAAACAAATCCAGAGCTCCCTGGATGAAAAAGAGATGGAGAGCAAGACAAAGTAGAAAAAGTGTGCTTTTAACATATATCAGATGGGTAATATTCTTCCTGAAATATATTCATGTTCTAGATCTTGGTGTATAGGACACAATTTTAAAAATTATCAGCTAACATAAAATTTGATGTTCATAGGTTGGTGAAATGGGTGACAAGTGACAGGAAATTTCATATTTTATACATTCATTTATAGCCTATGGTGTCAATGGCCAGGTCAGCATTTATCATCTATCGATCATTGTGCTGGACAAGGTGGGAGTGAGCAATATTCTTGAACTGGTGCAGTAATGTAGGGAAACCCACATCATTGACAGAGATGGTGTTCCAGAATTTTGATCCTGAGTCACTGAAGGAATGGTGATATACTTTCAAGTAAGGACAGTGTATAGCTTGGACAGGAAGTTGCAGACATGGTGTTCCCATGCATCTAACGCTTTTGTCTCTAAGAGGTTGAAGGCAGAGGTAGATAGATTCTTGATTAACAAGGGAATCAAGGTTTATGTGGAGGGAAAGCGGGAGTTAAGACCACAAACAGATTAGCCATGATCTTGCTGAGTGGCAGTGCTGGCACAAGGAGGCAAATGGTTTATTCCTGCTCATAATTTGTACATTTTTATGCACTGTGCTGTAGCCATTCTACAATTCAATGGTATGGTATTGGAACAAACTGACAGAGAGTAGGTAGTCACAATAACACCAGTGACACTGCAGGTAGCTACTGAACATACCTGTGCTGCAGTGTGGAATTGCAGTGATACCTGAGGAAACAACTGCATCCTCTCCAACCAACCGTTGGTGACAGTGACTGGTGCAAGTTGCGAGCTGATAATTCTCACCCTGAATCAGCAGAAAATAAAATTAAACAGGAATAAATAGCCCAGAGAGAAAACTTGCCCACCCCTTATCTGTCAGAAACCTACACAAGGAACAAATTATGGCAACCTGCCAAATTTATTGTTTCTTATCCATTGAGAAAATGAATACACCAAGAAGGTGAATTTGTATAGAAGAGAAACTTTTCAAATTGCTGCCAATGGGGACTGACAGGGCTCCTTCATGTGTCTGACCACCACCTGTGATTCTCTACCTCAGTTTGAGTTAGTGCACTTGGCTGGAATGGGTTTTGATTGAGCTCCAGCGTTTTGCATTGCAATCAGTGGTTTCTGTCAAACAACAGTGTCCTTATGTGTAACCAATCGGTAATGCAACTGTTTGCAACTACAAGTTCATAAAGTCCAGGATGGTAGTCAGTCCATTGTTCAAGGACTATCCAGTCAGTCACATCCCCCTGCTCTTTCCCCAAAACACTGCATATATTTTGCTACAAGCGCAGAATGCCATTTTGGCAGTTACTACTGAACTTTCTTTCAGGCAGCATATTCTAGATCACAGCTCAGTGTTAAAAAGTTTATTTTTGTTGCCTCCATTTCCTCTGCCTTGAATCTGCAAAACACAGTCTTTCCCGAGAACAGTACAGCACAGGAACAGGTCCTTTGGTGCACAATGTTGATCCAAACATGACACTGACCAATCCCCACCACTATCTACCTGCACTCACCTATCACCATCCCACCTACCTTCCCCAGCCAGAGCCCACTTCCCCTACCCCATTTCTGAAGAAGGGTCCCGAACTGAAACGTCAGCTTTCCTGCTCCTCTGATGATGCCTGGCCTGCGGTGTTATCTCAGACTCCAGCATCGGCAGTTCTTACTATCACCAAATTAAACTAATCCCTTCTGCCTGCCCTTGGTCCATATCCCTCCATTCTTTGCATATTCATGTGCTTATATAAAAGACCCTAGAATGCCTCTATCGTATCTGCCTCCACCACCAGCTCTGGCAGTGCGTTCCACACTCCTACCACTCTCTATGTAAATAAAAACTTTATCTTTCTTACCTTAAATGCATGTCCCCTGATATTAGACATTTCAACTCTGGGCAAAAGATTCTGACCATCAACCCTATCTATGCATCTCATAATTTTATTGACTTCTATCATGTCTCACCTCAGCCTTTGCCACTTTAGAGAAAACAACCCGAATTTTTCTAGCCTCTTCTTAAAGCTCAGACCCTATAATTCAGGCAGCATCCTGGTAAACCTCTTCTGCACTCTCTCCAAAGCCTCCACATCCTTCCAGTAATGTGGCAAACAGAACTGAATGCAATACTCTAAGTGTGGCTTAACCAAATTCTTATAAAGCTGCAGCATGACTTCCTGACTATTGTACTCAATTCCCTGAACAATAAAGGCAAGCATGCCATATGGCACTTTACCTCCCCATCTACTTGCGTGGCCACTTTCAGGGTGCTATAGGCTTGAACCCCAAGATTTCTCTGTACATCAATGTTGTTTAGGAGTGCTGCCATTAACTGTATAATTTTCCTTAACATTTGATCTCCCAACGTGCAATACCTCACACTTGCCTGGATTAAACTCCATCTGCCATTTTTCCGCCCATATCTGCAACTGACCTACATCCACCTGTATCCTTTGACAACCTCCTACAGTATCCACAACTCCACCGATCGTTCTATTGTCTGCAAACATATGACCCACCCATCTACGTTTTAAATCCAAGTCATTTATATGTGCCACAAACAGAGGTCCCACTCCAGGCTGAAAAACTCTCTTCCATCACCACCCTCTGCCTTTTGTGGGCAAGCCAATTCTGAATCCATGCGGCCAAGTCACCATGGATCCCATGTATCCTTATTTACTTTATCAAATCTGTTTGTGATTTTAAGTGCCTCAGTCAAAATTCCATGGCAAGAATGTGAAACTGAAACCATTTCCCATCCCCATCACATCCTCACTTGTGATACAATCCCTGTGTATGCAGTCTTTGGGATATACTTGTCCATCCTAGGAGGCCTATAGGTCTGTGAGCTGAGGGCTTCACGGTCAGTGAAGCAGAGCTTTAAGGCGATTGGCCTGTGGGAATGAGCTACACATCCATGGGACAGGAGTGTGTGGATCTCAGTTCTAGCATTTGTATTTGTGTGTCCAGTGTAGGTATATGAAGCATGGACTATACATCTCTGGGGCTTATAGGATGTGATTCAGTTGGTATAAAGTACGTTGGTATAGTACAATATAGATAATTGGGGAATAGGTCCTTGTTGATGTATTGGATAGAATTCTGTAGGTTGATTGAGCAGCGATCTCCGAGGGTGTGTGTTATGAAGGTTCATGCAGTGAAACAGAGAGACAGGGTGGGTGAGGAGGTGACAGCGTGCGAGACAGACAGCATGAGCAAGTGAGGGAGAGAGATAGAGCGAAAGACAGATATAGCAGAAAAAGAGACAGAAAAACAGATAGAACAAAAATGTGTGTGCGGTGACTGGGGGTGTCATATCTGCAGGGTAGAGATATTTTCAGAAAAGCCTAAGCACCACCATCATATAAAGTAAAAGTTGCATGTTATTTGTAATTGGCACAATGAATAAAACAATCCAGAAAATGGCTAAAACACTCACCACAATGGAAGCTGCTCCATGCTGAGTCAACAACCCTTACAAACAGAAATTAAAGACAATGATTTATTGATCAAGGTTTAGCTTTTTGTTAAATTATGAATAACAGTGGCATTTAATGAGTTATTTAAATGTTGAGCTACAGCCACACAGCAACCATTCAATTAATAATAGTAAAAACAGAAACTGCTGGAGAAACTCAGCAGCTCTGGCAGCATCTGTGGAGGGAGAAACTAAATTAGTGTTTTGAGTCCAATATGACTCTTTTACAAAGCATTCAGTCACTGTCCAGTTCAACAAGTGTGCTTATATGTAGGTAAATGCAGGAGCTATAATGTGCATAGCAAGCTCCCACAAACAAACAATGACATGAATGAGCTGATATGTTGAGGGAGGAACATTGGCAACAACATAGGGAGACATCCTCCCTGCTGCTCTGCTCATCCACTTGCATCATCATGAACATTGACCAGAACCACAAAAAAAGCACAGACAACCTTAGTTTAAAATTTCATTCTAAGGTCATCTCTGATAATGTAGCAGTCAAGCTGACGTTTACTATATTCTTGTCTTTGCAAACTTAGCTCTTGGGGAATATGATCCTGTGGCACAGGAAGTTACAAAATGATACGGTTTTGTCAGTCTAACCAATGACTGCAGGCAGGAGGCAGGGCTTTTTGTTACGGCTTACCTTCCTCGAATCTTGATCCATCACAATTCCAAGCATGCTGCTGAATTAGTGCTTCAGAAAACCAATTACCACAGAGGGGACACTCCATTCTCCTTTCATAGTGGTTATCCAGTGCTATGTGTGAATGGGAAAAGATGGGTGAAAGGTTAATCTGCTGGCTTAGTCTCTTTCTCTAACCAACGAACCTGTCTGTCCAGTAGATCTAGCTCTGATCACTGGATCTCTGTTCCTGGTCTTCAGATCACTCTTTCTTTGCTCCCAATTAATCTCTCTCTTTTAGATCCCTCTTTATATAATGAACTTCTCTCCCAACCATTTGGATCACTTTTTAGTCACTGTTCCCAGAGTGAACACAGCAGATCTCCAGCCTCTCCCCAATGCATCTTCTTTTGATCTCCTTCTGCACAATGGCTTTTTCTCTGATTAGTTTCAAATAGATCTCTCTCTCTCTCTCTCCCTCGCTCTCTCTCAGATTTTGCTGTGGAGTTCCCAGAATCGTCCCTCCCTTTACTCGTTATGCACATTCCTCAGCTGACTCTGTCTTCCTCTCTCCTCCTATTGACAGACTAAAGTGCAACTGTGGATTATAGCTGACATGTGCAATCAGATTACTGTATTATCATTGTGTAGCTTGTGGAACTGTGATGAGACTTACGGTGTTTCACAGACCAACTGATGTAGCCAAGACAAGACAGCTTTGAAAAGAGGTAGGAATCATTTTCAAATATTGACATGTGTAATTGCATTATCTTGCTCAGCATAAGTGTACTTTAAATCCTGTCATGTAACAATTGTAAGTCTGATATGTGACATCTATGACCATCAAATCAGTCACAAAAGATCAACACCTGTGGAATCGGTCCAAACTCATATTTTCACTTCAGTGAGTACAGTTCTTGCACATTTTCTAACATCCCTTAGACAACGGGAGGAATCTGTGATTTAAAAAAAAACTGTAACTAAACTTTGGATGGCTTGAGTAATAAAAAGTAATTTTTGGCCTTTTTAAGAATTATTTATTGACATAAATAGCTGCCTGTTTGGCTTTCACTTTCAGGAAGTAGACTGCATTTAGGTAGGCAAATTATTTTAACTGAATAAGTCCAGGAGAACCGGGGGGGGGGCGCATGCTTACAAGGGCAGAAGCGGATCACATGTTGGCAGCTGTCGTTCCAAACAACAGTGAATCTGGGGGATCAGACAGTTGTCTCATGCAGTGAAAACTGATTCTATTTCTTCAACAAACACTGTACCAGTTTTTGGCAGGAACGGTGATCATCTTGCATAAGAAGTGAGTATCATATAATGTCAATCAGAGCTAATATCATCTCCGGGACTACTTTTGATTGTTTAAGGAGGTCAAACAACAATTTCCCATGAATCTCTCCCTCTGTTTCATTTGGGTTTAATCAGATCTGTTTTCTATCTCTTCTATTTACCTGATTTGGTTCTGGGTGGAGGGAGAGAGCTTGTGAGTGTACGTCATAGAGTCATACAGCATGAAACAGACCATTTGGTCCAACCAGGCCATGCCAACCATAATCCCAAACTAAACTAGTCCCACCTGACTGTGCTTGGCCCATATCCCTCCAAACATTTCCTATTTATGTACTTATGTACTTAATGTCTTTTAAGTATTGTAAATGTACCCACATCCACCACTTCCTCTGGAAGTTCATT